TCCATGGAGATGGAGACGCAGAATTCTTATCATTCTCTAGGCCTCTTCAACCTTCGGGTAAACGTGGGGGTATAACTCAGTGGTAGAGTGCTCGCTTTGCATGCGAGAAGTTTGGGGTTCGATCCCCCATTCCTCCAGAACTTTTTGTTTTTCTTTCTACTTACCTGCATTACAAAAGAATATCACATTCAACAGCACAAATTCCTCTTTTGTTACATTCAACTCTCTCAACCTGGCCACCACTTGACAGCAAACTCTATTCAGAAGTTCTCTAGATGTGTTGAATTTAGTGACAAGAATATCCGGGAATAGTTGTTGACCAGCTGGGGTCACCATTTTCTCGCGTTGCTCGTTCCGCGCCCTTATTGCACCGCATAGTATGTTGGATTTGAAAGTGTTCATTTGGAATATTATTTTCTGAAGTAACAGAGAAATTGGAGTAGAATTAAAGCAGAGAAGCCAACCTTATCCCTCAGGTCAAGCTGATCAATGAAGTCGAAGCATCGGAAATGGTTAATGATACTGTAGATCGCCAGGAATGACCATTGTGCAGGGGTGATTGATTCTGGCTGAATTATCAAATTAAAATTTAGTGTTACCCCTCAAAAACTCACCATAACCTCCGAATTCAATTCTTTCCTGCAGCTCAGAATATTTTCTAAACTCGGATTATCAGTTGTATAAAAGCTATGATACTTCTCCGTTCGTTTCTTGTCCATTACTTCCAGATTTTTCAGCAGGCTGCACAGCTCATCATCCCTCTGATTCTGTAGCTCTGACGCTGTGTAATTGGAGGGAGGGAGCTTCATTCCGACTTCCAGGCATCGTGTGAATCGACAAGATTTGCACTTCAAAGGGGTGTCAACCGATGTTACATAGCAATTATTGATTTTCTTGCATTTATAGGATAGCTTTTCGATGATCATTCGGCGGAAGAACATTTTGCAAGCTTCGCAGGAAATTGCCTGGAAATAAGAGCTTATGAGTGCCGAGGTTGTGGAAACTAAGGTTATCAAAAACAGATTCAGAATTCTAAAAGCTTCAAAATGAGTATAATCATGACTAGGTTTCCAGATGTCAAATTGTTCAATTTAAAGGCGCATAAAGTACTGTATCTCGATCTTTTTTGGTTTTTTGCAGTTTTCAAGAATAAATTCAGATTCAGAAGGACAAAAGCTTCAAAATGAGTATAATCATGACTAGGTTCCAAAATTCCAATTTTCACCTTAAAGGCGCATGGGCCTGGAATAACTAAAACTCACCCCATAGTACCTACAATACGCTGGTCTTCTGCAAATTGTGCATATTTTTTCAAAGTCATCAGAATCTCTTGATGTCGATGGTGGAAGCATTTCTAAAAAACATTGTTTTGAAAAAATGAAAAAAAAAGTCAGACGATCAAAACGAAAGATTTACACTCTTATCAAATTAGGATCATCAAATGAAATTGGAAAACGTCATTCAATTCATAGAAATCTAACAAAAAAAAAGATGAAAAACCAAGTCAATTTATAAAGGAACACTTATGTTTTGATGAAGTTGTTCGATAACTGACCACAAAACGTTCTGTGTACCTCAATAGATTATGAGAAACGATAAAAAGAAAAGGAGGGATAACTGCACTCTTATCACTTGTCAGAATGAATATATATCAGACACAACAGTGTAGCGATGACCATGGAAGATTCTAGTTCCGTGTAGAAGATTTGTTCAAGATGTATCTTTTCTACGTCCGTAGAAAAGAGACATATGATTTATTTTGTATGGCGATCAAAGCACGGTGTTTAGGATTTATTTTCGGCAGAATAAACGTTTAGAAGAGATGGGTTTTGAGAGTAATATTAAAATATGTTTAGCCATACTTTGATCTTTTATGAAAGTTCAGAGTGAACCATAAAACATAATCTGTGTAACTTTGGTTGTGAACAATAAAATTCTTGCAAAAACGAAAAAAAATTGAAAAGTTCATAATTGCACTTCTTGTTTTTGTACCAGCCTTCAATAAATCCCCCTTTTCTTCAATAATTTCTCGCGTGTCCGCTGTTAAAATTGACCATTTATTTCAAAAGAAAAAATCGAAAAAAAGTTAAAAAACCAATTTATGTTTCTTTCCTCCCTCATCCTCTCGATAATCATCCACACACTTCTGAGCACACTCTTCGAAATCCTTCAGTTCCGACTCGTCTTTATCGGGTTTGTAGAGGGTATCAACACAGTTGTTTTCACAGGCAAGGAAGGTGTGGTCACTGTCGTCTGGAATGATAGAAAGTGGGTACAGTATTCAGTGACCTACGCCAGTTTCGCTAGGAATATAGAAATGGGATTCTGCTAGTTAGTCTCACTATAACCAAACTATGATAAAACTCACCCATGAAATCCCCATAACACTCCTGTGCGCACTTCTTCCACTCCTCAACATCATCACCACATGTCAGCACACAATCGATTTCATCTTCCTTGTCATCAAAGCAATAGGAAATTGTGGAAATTAGAAGGAGTAAAAAGGGAATGAGAAGTAATTTGGATGGCATTTTTTTGTCAAAATGGAGCAAGAAAAAGAGAGTGGTTGGCAGTTTGAAACAAGCGGGAATGATTGCAAAGATAAAAGAGAATGTTTTTAGGGCGGCTATTATTGTTTTTGTCGTTGTAGCAGTAAAACTGATAACAAAATTTGGCTCTATTCCAGTTTAGGGGATTTTTGATTTTAGAGGGGACTCAAGCCAGGGGACGCAAGGAATAGGGGACTCTAAAAAACCAGAGGGGACTCAAGCCAGGGGACGCAAGAAATAGGGGACTCATAGAATGTCAAAAAAAAACAAGGGACTCAACAAGCGGCCAAAAAAAACGGGGGACTCATCAAGCGTCCAAAAAAAAATGGGGGACTCAAAACAAATGAGCTGGAATCTATATGTGCTGGAATATTAAGAATGATCCTTTTGAGTCAAAAATGTTGTAAGATGGTCAAATTAGAAGTTTAGCTTGAAAAACACAACTCTGTTCGAACTGCTTCATTTGATCTAAAACTCTGTGAAAACACCACTTTTTAGCTATTTATTGATATACAATAAAATATAAATTTCGGAAAACTTCATTAGCATCAGGGATTTGGATGGTGCATCATAGATGTGGAAATGGAAGTAGAGATTTTCGAAAAAAGGAAGTTTTTTTCAGATTTTCTATTTCTAATTTTATTTAAATGAAGATCCGAAGAGTGATGTTTTCACAACTCTTTGGATCAAATGAAGCAGTTTGAACAGAGTTATGTTTTGAGTCCCCCGTTTTTTTTTTGGCCGCTTGATGAGTCCCTTGTTTTTATCGGACGCTTGATGAGTCCCCTATTCCTTGCGTCCCCTGGCTTGAGTCCCTCGTTTTTTTTCGCCTTTCCTTGAGTCCCCTCTGGTTTTTTAGAGTCCCCTATTCCTTGCGTCCCCTGACTTGAGTCCCCTATTTAATTAAGCATCCCCTAAACTGGAATAGAGCCCAAAATTTGATAGTGTTCAGAATGTGCATTCGAAACGCTTGAGTCAAAAACGATGAACATAAAAAGATTACAGATTTATGAATTGCTAAAAATTCAAACGGTCCATGTTTTGTTAATGTCGTCTGTATACATCATTCTTGTTACACAGAAATCTATAATAATATTATGATTTCCTTAACTTCACTCATTTACTTTTAGTTAGTTTGACTCTGTATGAATCAAAATTCAAGAACAGTTATGTTTATCTGGTGAGCACTGTTAAACTCATGGGAAACATCAAATCGGAAAAAAATTGAGAGTAGGCCTTATGCACCTGACTTTTTCAGAAAACCCATCCCGTGTTCATTATTAACTGTGCTGACTGTGTTGAAATGCAGAAATCATTAGTTGCAATTCCAAGTTGCCGTCATTCCAACTTTTTCTGCCCATGCTATATACAACTTTGTTCCTCGTTTTCAATATTGTCTTCTTGATGTTGTGACCGACAATTATCTTCAAACTTTAAAACACTATAAAATGATGGTTGTAGCCATAACCTTCTAGCCAATTTGTTGAACACTCCCAAAAGATTACCTAGATATTCATATTCAATATGAAACCCGAAGCATATCAATTTTTACAGAAATACAATGAGCCTATTCGATCAATTTTGATTTTTCTGTTCGAACTTTACACTGAAAAAGCTGACTATGTAAATTTTGCCAGATTAGTTCTATCATTCATTGCTTTCATTGTGAACTTTTTTCATTTATTGGTATTGTCCAGAAAGGCAATGAGATCTTCGGGTACTAATGTACTGATGATTGGTTTAGCGATGAGTGATATGACCTGTTGCTTCAAAGAGGCTCGTGACCAAATATATGTCTTCATTCCGCGAAATTTGGATGTTTGGTAAGTTATTCCAAAATACTAAGACGGAAATTTCAGAATAATTTGGAAATTTTTAGCAATCCGCCCGATTCCTACTCATGGAATTTATTCATTCTTGCAACTCTTATTTTTTACGAAATCTGTCGACGCCTTTCTCCATGGACAGGGGTTGTTATGGCGTTCGTGAGATTTTTAATTTCCTCATTTCCTTTCAATAAAACTATTGGGAAAATGGGAGAGCCTCCTTTTGCTGTTTGCTCTTTGATTATCAGTTTGCTGATGAGCATTTTGATTGAAGGAGATGCAATAATTCTCAGCAAAGTTGTGGAAATGTATGAATGGATTCCAGAGAAGATCCCAGAGAAAAAGTTATTGTGTACAAATACATATGTTAACTAATCTATTAGGTTGGCAAGAAAGTAACTGTCCATTGTTCAGCTTTCTCTAACTCACTCTTGAAAAGCTTGGGAAATCTGAAATTTTCACAAACAATAGTACTTGCATTAGCTCTACAAAATTTAATTACTCTCATTTCTCGCTCCCTCCTTAAGCTGGCTACACCCTCATCAAAACGTAGTGAATATAATACCTTTTAATCAAGATTTTTTGGAACTCTAAACTAGAAAACTCGAAATGATTTTTAGCTCAAAAACACATTTTTTGATGAAACTTTGCGAAAGACATCGAACTCTATGATCATTCCCTTTTCAGAACAAATGGCAGTCATAGAAACGAAGTGACTGCCAGCAAATCACTTTGGTAGTTCGTGATATTAAATCATTATTG